GACCCAAGGAGTTTTACTATTCCTTGCACAATTGGAAAAACTTATATTGATAAGGCTTTATGTGATTTCGGAGCAAGTATTAATCTTATGCCTTATTCTGTTTTCAGGAAGCTTGGAATGCATAAACCTAAACGACTTCCATGTCACTTCAGTTGGCAGATAGGTCGATCACATACCCCAAAGGCATAATGGAGAACGTATTGGTAAAAGTTGGGGAATTTATATTTCCTACTAACTTTGTGGTACTTGACATGGAGGAAGATAATGATGTCCCCATCATACTAGGGAGACCGTTCTTGGCCACTGGTAGGGCCATCATAGACGTACAAGAAGGGAAGCTCACACTGAGGCTAGATGATGAGGAAGTTGTATTTCAAGTTTTCAATTCTTTCAAGTACCCTTCTAGCCAAGAATCCTGTCACTTTGTGAGCACTGTGGATATTGCTTCTCCTCATGCAATTTATGTGAAGCATAGAACCACAAGAAGAAGGCCAAGGAGGAAGCAACATAAGAAGAAGAAAAGACAAAAGCTTAAACCATCCATTAATAAGCCTCCTAATTTAGAGCTTAAATTTTCTTCTCTTTATTCTAATCCCCATCCTATGAATAATTTTTCTGATGTAATAGGTGTGGGGAGGCAAAGCTGTTGGGAAGACAATTACATATTAAGGGAGTCACCTCTGAGACTCATGCCTTCTTCCCACCATGATTTAACAGGAACGTCAGGCTCGTGACGTTAAACAAGCGCTCTGAGGAGGCAACCTCTGTCTTTTATTTTATTTAAATTTTATTTCTAATTGGAAATCCTTTTGATTGCTTATGCTCAGTGATATTACTCTTGTTGCTCTCTTTATCTCCTCATCCTGGGTTCCTTGTGTGGTATTATGTTTTAAGTTATTATGTTACTCTTAACTAGCACTTTGCTTGAGAACAAGCAAACAGATAAGTATGGGGGAGTTGATAAGTCTGTAATTAGGCCCTCTTTTACAGCCCATATATTCATATTTGACTTTTATTTTATTTGAGTTTTACACTAATTTATATATTAATTATGCAGTTTGTGTAGATCTTAGCAGCTGTCCTAGAACTTCCATGATGACATCCATAATCTGAATTATGGCAGTGTACTGGTTAGAGACCAACTCGGTCCTACTTGTAGGAAAAGGAAACCGAGTACCTATTCGGCCTAGTTTGGCCGGATACCCTTCGTCAGGATTAAAAGGTAATTAACCCAATTTAGGATAGTAATCAAGATATTATTTATTTAAAATAAAGGGCTAAAATTAAGACTGGCTTGAGAGGCCCATTGGCCCATTATAATGCCTATGAAAGGAAGGTAAAAGTACAGGTAAATGGTTGACTTTTCATTATAAAAATAGCATTTATTGCTCAGAATCGAATCCTGACTTCAGCATCGGAGTGCCTTTTGCAGGTACCCTTCCACGTCAGCAACGGTAAGAGAGACGTCAGCACGACAGATCAGATCAGAGACTTGAAGACCAGTGTTACCCCAGCAGGAACAGGCAGTGCCACAAGATATCAGCTTGCTTTTTTTGTGGAATGCATCTTCTCAACAGACCATCTACTCCAATTTTGAATAGATGAGGATCCTCCCAAATGTAGAACTTGTTGTCATGGAGGAATTTCTTTCTCTGCTGCCAACTCATTCTCTTTGGAATATGCTGAGTGGCTTTAAAGTTTGCTATATCAGCAAACCAAGGTAACTCCTTCATAGCTAGCAATTTCTCATCAGGGAACTCCTCATTAATATCAAAGCAATCTGATTGTAGTATTTCTAAAGGTATTCTCGATAGATGGTCTGTAACACCATTGCTCTTCCCTTTCTCTTCATGATGTGTTGTAATGTTGTGTTGTACATGTTGAGGACGTTAAATACGCAGAAATACTTAAATAATGTTTTAAGTGGCTTAATTTTATTATGCAATAAGTGTTGGAATGTTTAATTAATACTATTGAATGCTTGGTTTTACTGTGATAACATATGTATGGTGTGCTATCAATGCTGGATGAAAATGAATATATTGATGTATTGCTGAAGTTGAAATTAGATTTAATACTGCTGTATCATATTGATTTAACTATGTTGCACCACATTCATTTTCATCATTCCAAAGCTGCATAAAACGCTAAGCTGTGCTTGTCTAGATTCAGATACCAGGATAGGACGCTCCTAGACCAGAACAATTCCTCTGGATTACTTAGGCTGTGAAACCAGATGGAAACTAAATTGCTGTATTTGCATTAGATGGGCTGGGAAAGGGCCTGGACATGCTACATTAATTGATTGAAATTGTTGTGTTGGTTGCTGTAAACCATAAGTGTTGTGCAAATGATTTTTTGCTATATTTATGCTTTGTAATTATGATCTTTATTTAAATAAGTTCACCCTTGTGTTTGTTTGTGTTGTTGTGTGTTTATGATGCAATGATCGTACGATGATATGTGAGCAGGAGTAACAGATGGAGTGTCTAAATTATCTGCTGAGGAGTCTGGCTAAAGAGTGATCCGGGCCGAAGTTAAAGTTTTGATGTAACTATTATACAGAGTTTGTGTACTATGAGCTTCATTTGGAGCCACTATTATAATCATATATGTACTTTTATGCTATTTGTATATGTAAGATATTTTTTTTTTTAGATTTTTATTAATGTATGGATTATTAAGGTGTCGATGAAGGTGATAAAGTTAATGATTTATAAAGAAAAGTATATTATTTGTAATATATCTATATTGACTCATATTTTGAAATTAAATTGGAAATATTAATTCAGAATGTCATTAATCCTTATAAAAAGGGGTCGTGATAATTGGAGAACTTAGAGTGTATGATTTTACCTTTACGCTATGTTTATTGGTAATCTAATTCTAATTCTGGTTTCCGTATGATTACCCACCATTTATACTAAATTTATTAATATCCAATAATTATGTAATGTAAACAATTTTTTTCTTGAACTATTACCCTTAATAGTCATACATGGTAAAAGAAAGAGAAAACATAAAACGAGTAGCAAAATTCAAAATTTTGGGTTCCTAAACATTTTAACTTAATTAAATTTCTACTTATTCAAAATTTATTTCACACAAAAAGTGTTAAATAAGACCATTTATAGGCATGATATTGGGCTAATAGACTTGGTGAGTAAGCCTTAGATTAATCTTCTGATTGCTTGGATGATTAACCTTTTCTTTATTAGTTATTTACCTTAATTAACTCTTTAATTTATTTTGATATGACCAAAGGGGCGTTGATATCTCTTGTCCAAAGATAAAGCCGAAGAGGTGTTGGTATCCCTCGTCCCTAGGTAAGGCCGAAGAAGTGTCGATACCTCTCGTCCATAGGTAAGGTCGAAGAGGTGTTGGTATCCCTTATCCCAAGGTAAGACCAAGGGATGTTCAGTTCCCTGTTTTGTAGGGATGACCGAATGGTGCCCTATCCAGTACACAAAGCATTTTAACTTAATTAAATTTTTATTTTTCAAAATTTAGTTTAAACAAAAAGCGTGTTAGATAAGACGCTTTCGTGGAGTAAGTCTAGGCTAAAATTCGTCAAATCGCATGGCTGTTTCAAGCTCAATTCTGTTTCTAGATTTGGGTAGCAAAATGTTATATGGTGCTTTGGCTCTTGAAAGCAACTTCTCTCCATAGAGTAAGTTAAAGCTTTAATCTTTTAAAGGCCGTTATGCAAGTCTTTAATTTCTTGCATAGGTTCACTCCCAAAATGTTAAACACAAGCTAAAATACGATTAAATATAAAACTAAATAATTAAAGTTTATATTAGAAAGTCCTTCTAACATTGAGGTTGTCCCTCTTTCTTTCACCCATGGTTGTGGAATCAAGCTACATATATATCAAGGCACAAAAATTCTTTGGGAATTTTATAATGACATGGCAATGGATGGAATTGGTAGTATTTGGAAAATATTAACCAAACAACTTAAGCACATTGGTTAAAAAATTTCTTTATATAAAAAATATAATTCTTCTATTACTATCATGATATGTAGTTATTATATACCAGGACAAACATAAAATTTTAAAAAAAATATTATTCAATTAATCAGGACAACTTCATGTCATAATTAGGGTTGACAGTTTTTATTTTAGCATATGTGAAGCAACAACTTTGTCGAACCGCCAACAGGGCCGGCCTCTCATTCAACTTAATGGCTTGTTATTCCATCAAACCCATTAAACCAAGCTATAAGATTTACAGGTCCACCTGAGAACAAAGAAAAAGGTTGGTGGGTAATGGAACGGATCATGATAACTGCTTAAAGAATAGGTGAATGGGGGCAGATAGATGCAATTTAAGTTGGCCATTAAAGTATGTTATGTAGGTTTGACTAGTACGTGATTAATAGTTTATCTTAAAGAACAGTGTTTTCTAAGTTCTAACCAAACTCATGGTCCCCATTTCTAGGGCCATTTTATTTGAAGGATATGTAAGATATTGGATTAGAAAACGGAACAATCCCAAGCATTACAATCACCCATTTCTTTCACTCGTAACCGTTGCTTGTTGCTATTGTTGCTTAAAACATTGATTATTGATAATTAGCCTTTTCGTTTGTAACGTATTTATATGGAAGTTGCTCTGGTACTAAGGGTAATAACGTAGACTAAAACATTTATTGGGTATTGGTTTATTTGAAAATTCCTTATATCTAATTAATAATAATAAATGTTTTACAAATCACTTCGAATAAATGAATTGAAAATAAGATGGTTCAATAATAATCCCCGAATAATATATTCAAAAACAGGACTTTGAACATCAGTTACCGTATAATAAGTAGTATTAAACAAATGTCTTTGAACACCTTGTCACTATTATTTGTACGTACTTACCATACCAAACAAGTAGAATTCTTCAACAAAAGGCTTGACTCTTGGAACATTGTAATTGTAACGCACACTTTTTCTTTCTATCATTCATTGACAAACGCAAGACAGGACTCGACAATTATAGCAGGGGATGAAATGAATAGGAAGAAAAAAGAACCGAAAATCAAAAATAAAAAACAAAAGACGAAGAAACAAGGAAACTAAACAACATTCATGTCCATATTTGGTTGACATGCATGGAAAAACTGAGTGAGTAACCGTGCTTATATAGTATAAAACTTAAGGGCAGTGTGTAAGTGTTTTTAGTACTATTTTTCTATTAAAATTAAAATTGTACCTCAATAAGATGTCAGTATTTAATATTATTACATATTATTGAGGTAAAACATAATTTTAATTAAAAAATAGTACAAAATTATCTGTTAAAATGTACTTCAGTTTTACCCAAGTGAAAATTCTGTTCCACTAGTGAATCAGAGCATGTCAAATATGCCTCCAAGGTCTTTCTGCCAAGCTTACACACTCACTATGCCTATAACAATCCACAAGATGATCAATGGTCAATCCTGCGGCCTGCATAAAAGAGTGCACTATCACTGGACCAACGAACCGAAATCCTCGCTTTACCAAGTCCTTGCTAAGAGCCTCTGCTTTTGGACTCCTCAATTGCACATTTCTTGGGTATCTGTATCTGTTTATTATTGGTTTATGATTTACATAACCCCATATATAGCTACTGAATGATCCAAATTCTTTTACAATCTGTAGATAAAGAGAACAAGCGGCAACCAAGTTAGCTAGCGAGGTGAAGTAGCAAAAATTTGCACAGATATGGATTGTGAACTTGCCTTCATTATGCATTTGGCGTTGTCTACTATGCACATAACTCTGCTATCAGCTAAAGAAAGTGCTTTGTTTGAAGCTATCTCCATGATTTCCTTTTCCTCCATTTTGGCAACAGTATTAGCATCAAATCCAGCAAATACTTCTCTGCGTCAAACATTGTATCATATACCTGTATTAATTTAATTACCAACAAAACAACATGCATAGAATTAGAATTTTCCATACACAATGTTACCTAAGAGATTCCTTTCTTTTAAGAATTTCTGTCCAATTGTAGTCCATAAGCAGTCCAGACATTGCAAGCAGCTCAAACAATTTGCTGTTGAATGATGTTAGATGGTATTACAATTTTATTCCCTCCAGGTCAAGTTATATTTCAAATAAGGTAACTAAAATATTTACAATGAAGTGAGTATATTTAACTAAAATATCCTTAGTAAGGAGTTAAAACATATTTGTGAAAAATATCAAACATTTATCAAGGATATATCAGTACATAAAAATATTATATAAAATGAATAACGAATATTTTCTTTATTTTTTTCTAAAAAATAATAAATACTTTGAAATAAACGAGAAATCATATATTTTAGAAATGGAGGGAGTACTCTTTTCTAGTTAGAACTTACTTGTCATCATAAGCTGGAACTCCCCAGCACTCGTCATGAAATTCTATGTACGCCATATCTGCACAAGACACCTAAATCAGTTATGTACGGATTTGTATACTTTCCACATACTATACGACGTATGTATACAATCCTATGTATGGACCATTTTGAAAAGGTGACCAGGTATTATGCAACAGTTTGCAAGGGAATCAGTGTTTTTCCAAGTACAAATACTAATAAAGTCAAATGATACATTAAGTGCTGGAAGTAGGTAGAACCTATAAAATGTGGAGGAAAATAATCTAAAACTGTTTAGAGTGGCAAAATATGACGTCTGGTACGATTTTTGCCATAATTTTTATATTTTATTGTCGATAGCATGATAATTAATTCTAACAAGTGCCAATCAAATATCAAATATTGGAACATTATTATACGGGCTACGTATTGATGTTTTACAGTTCAACCACTCCAGTAAAATAAAATCTTGGGATATGGTTGGAATGCGATTTAATCATCACTTGTAAGAGCAATTGAGTTAAGCAGCACAATCTAACCCAATTAATAGGCATGATTTTACATTCGAGCTATAAGGTATTTATTTTGAACTGAAAACAACATGCTCTGTCTATTGAAGTTGTCGAATCTTTGTCACAGAAATAGAAGCTTTCGGTAGAAAGACTTGTTTTCAAGGGAAAAAGAAGATTAATAGTTATGCCATATAAACTACATTTACAAACCAATCCACAAACTAAATGGCTGAACAGTAATGGCACTAAGGTAAAATGAATAACAAATATTTGGAGTTAATATTAGCCATAAATAGACACTACCGACCAGAACTTGGTTCTAGTTTCCACTAGAAAATGTATGTATGCTAAACTTTGACTATGATTTTTGTCATTTTTCTTATTTCTTTTTAGGTGTAGAATTACCCAGTTATACTCCATATCTTTTATTAAGGTAGTTTTTCTATATACACGGGTACCGAACTTCTCTTAATTATTTATCAACTATCAACTACGTCACACTTTGTTGATAGCAAAAATCATTGTGTAAATGGAAAATAAACTAATGCAATATCTTCATAACAATTTTTATAACCAGAAAAATCGTATAAGATAAAAAATAAATAAGTAATACTTGTTATTAAAAATTATAGCATTTAACCGTATTAATATATTATTATTAAAGTAAATTAAATTCTGTAACTTTTAATAAACAATAACTATATATAAATTCTGCAAAATAATAAATGAAAGCTGCTGGAACAGAAACTGATCATACCACTGTTCTTTGTGATCCAGTTGCATCGTTTCAATTCTCCAGGTTCGGTGGTGACTGATTGTTGGTGTTGCTGTAGAGAAGGTTTAGTAGCTAAGGTAGGTTCTCGTCTTTCACGCGGGGAAAGCAAACGCAGTGCGAGTGAAATCTTTTCATCCAGAGGAGTCAAAGAATCAGCCGGAGAAGAGTCATTTGAGTTTTGTGACAAAGACAAGGACACTGACGATAAAGATAAAGATGAAGTGCTTTTCTGAAGGCCAATAGGGTACACTTTCTTGAGGTTTTTGGTGAAAAAGCTGTGGTTCAATATTTTCTGTGTATCTTTGACACTTGTGCTCTTCTCAAGAATATGTCTTCTTACATTCGTTTTAGACATTGTGGAGAAGAAGAGAGATAAAGTTTTACTGTTATGATGTAGATAAAGTGGGTTGGGAATGGGTTTCATGAAAATATGGGGTTTTTAAAAAGAGATGGATAGCCAGTAAGAGCAATGTCCAAGTTGGTTGATGAAATGTGATTTTCATGCATAAGAAAGATTTTTGGTCCTTTGTTTTCAAGCAATATTTGATTATGCCCGTCGCATATGGGCAATACAATTTCTCGATAAGGATACTTAGTTCATGGCCCACCGACACATTCCACACCAAATATTAAGGTCATTTTCATTTTTTAAGAATCCTAATTAAATAATTAATAAATATTTCTTTTAAAAATTATGATGTTGATTATATTAAATTCTATGAACCAGTGTAACATAAAAACTTTTTTTAATTATTTTCTTAAAACTATTTATTAGTATTCTGTAATTTTTTTAAAATGTAAACCAACGCCGAAAACTCTATATATACTAAGCCCATTGAACAGTTCTTCTTCAGTACATGATTGATACCACTCTAACAAGTAGATAAAGTTAAGATCCGTTGAGTTTACCTTGATTTTACATTCAAAAATTCCATTTAGCCTAATGTTTGTGGCGTATGTGTGAAATGATATATATTTTTAATTATTAGAGAATGATTATAAGATAAAGATTTGTTTCTCATTTTTCGTAGAAAAATATAGACATATTTTTAGAGTGAGTAAAGAGTAAATTTTCATCATTTAATTTTGCATGAGATAGTCAATATAAAAGTATCATATATTTATTTTTATATTTATATCTTTTTCTCTTGGTTTATAGCAGATGTGAAATACGAAGAGTTTTTAATATAAAAGTGAGGGATAAATTTTAACCACTAAATTTAATCATAAATAGTTAAAATTAAAAGACCAAGTTATATAGCATTTTTCAATAGCTCTTTTAAAAGATCATCTTCAAGTAATTTTTAATCTAGACCCAAAGCTGTGTGTAAATTTCTAGGGCCTCTCAATGAGTTATAAAATGTTGAGCAAAATTTTAAAATTAAGTTTAATATTTCACTTTCAATAAATAATATGACTAACCCATTCATCCATCTTATAACATAGATTATCTAAGATAAAATTTAAGAAACATTTTTTACTGATTACTTATTTATAAATAGTGTGAATAATATTTTATAAATAATGCATGTATCGAAAAAAATAATTATAGTATTTTGGAGTAGGTTAATTATTCTAATTGATATTAATTTCTTTGTTGATTACTGTTGTTTTTAATTCCTTTACTTTTAAAAATGAATATCTCACGACCATCAATATCAAAATACTCACTAAAATTCAATAGCTTTTCAGACAAAATTAACATAATACTTTTTCAATTCACATCCTCTTCTAAAGAAGCAAGAAATAGATGGTTAGAAAGAGCAAGAAAAAAAAGAAAGAAAAGAAAAAAGAAAGAAAGAAAAGGCCCCGACGGGGATAAGAAGTTTTGGAACAAATAATTAAAAAATAAAATAGTTATTTTTTAATATTTAAATGAGTGACCACTTCATTTGATTAGAAACAGTTACCACGTAACCTTATTTACTCACATAAAATTATATGATAAAATATTTGGTTATCTCAGACATTTATCTCATTTAATATTTTTCACACACAGGTGCAGGGAGCATGTATCAAGCTCAGGAGAGGTAAAAATAATAAACTAATATATAGGTAATGTTAAGATTGAAATTAGTCTAACAATATATTTTTAATTATTTATTTATAATTATATATCGAATTAGATTTAGTTTTATCATTTTTTTTTTCCTCCTGGTATGCTATATATCCTATACATAGTCGATGGCAAGGTGTACCCTCCCACTAAGAAAACGGAGGTAATACTGACACAAATTCTTAAGTAAATTAAATTTTATATATCTTAATAAACTTTTATGAAGTGCCTTTCAGAGACTTATTGATAAGACAAGGAAAAAATAAAGAAAACATCGTAAATTGGGGAAAAGTGTCTGCTAATCATAAATGGGGTAATTTATGTTTCTGCTGACTGACTGAATGTTAGAGTGGACCATATAGCATTGCAGCAAAACACGTAGAAGGAGCACAATTAGGGAACGGGATATGGAATCTTAATTGAAATAAGTAAAAAGCTTTTTCCACTTTATGTTGTGTTTTTCGTTTACGTAAATTGAATTTGTAAAAGCAGTGATAGGGGTTAAAGTTTTGGCTGAAATGGAAATGGCACTCGTAATCATAACCATAGGTAAGACTCAAATCATAACTATTTTAGTTGCAGCGTTTGTCTCAAAGCAAGGTGTAATGGGTCATAAAATTCTTGACTCCTACTCTAGTGCCTTTACTTCTGAGACATACCTGTGGCCTGCAAAGACAGAGATTTCTCATCCTTCCTTCCCTTCTTCACATTTTCAAAATTCTTTGAAAAAATCTTGCAATTTTTTTTCCTTTTTTTTTTTAATTAGTTTGCTTCATATGACGTGAGATGGAGAAAGTAGTGATTTGATGTATGATATGTTTCTCGTAGGAGATTAGTCAGTTGCAATGCATTATTGTACCAGGTATCGTTCACTGTGCAATTAGATGCCCAGGTTTATTATATATTAATTTTATTAACTTCAAGTTTTAGATTGTTTCTAAACATATTAATTATTTCTTAAAAATTACTAATTAAGAATTAATAAATAAATAAAATTAAAACAATATTATATTCATAAATGTTATACTTTTTAACAAAAACATTATGTACTTTTAAATTCTAAGTAGAGTGTTCTAATAAAGAAAAAAAGCTATATTTTATAAATTAAAGAGAGAAAAGTATTTTAACTTCTTAAATATACGAATATATTTTTCTCTTCTTAATTATTATTCAAAAATGTCAGTTCAGAAATTAAGAAAAATAATTTATTCATAAAATTACAGTAAAAATATATTAATAATATTAAATAATATTTTTTTTTATTATTTTGTTTAATTTGTAATTATCTTTTACGGTAGTAACTATAAAAGTAGTACTAAAAATATAGCAACGGTTTATAAAGATTTATTTTTTATTATTTTGTTTAATTTGTTTATTCATGCACTTGATAGGCAACGGTTTATAAAGATTTATGTCATACTCTTATTACTAATAATTACTCATGAAATTTTATTTTCTTCGTTTACTCATAGTTTAGAAAATTATAATATTAGTTAAGTACCACTTGAATAATAAGTCATACTATGTATTGACATAACTATACAAGTGGACTTCAATTTTTTTCACTTGCTCATGAGCCAATTACTAATAATATGAGATACAACATGTGATTTATCACTTCAACTAGAACTCTCTTGGGGGACGAACCCACGGAGTTCACACTCATTACCTGCATGCATTGAAGAACCAATTTCCTGCCCATTTAATTCCATCCAAATAAAAATCAGAAGATAATTGATAACATAAACCTGGTCATATAAATAATTCCATAATTATTCAAAGTAACCGCAAATTATCCAAGAATCTTAAAACACAATCCACGACCATTAAAGTACCAAAGCAAAGTACATTACACCCAAGTTACCAAAATACAATATAAAGTATCGAACTCTCCACCGTATAACAAGTGGAGTCCCCTAGCAGCGGATAACAAAAGAAACAACTAAACATCGATTAGGACTCCTTACAAGGGTTCTCCTCTATCTCTTTGGTATCTGAAGGATCCTCCTCAAATTGAGCTCAACGTGGAGAATAATACAGAGAGAGGCCATCCACAAGATCTGTGAATACTAAAAGAAAATGTCCAACACCACAACATATTTCAACAATGAAAAGAAGGAGTGAGATATATTTCCAAGTAAATATCTTTCAAAAAAGAAACAAAACAAAGTAAGTACGAGCATACATCACATTAATACAATTGTAACTTTTATAATCTAAAAAAATACAAGTCTAATTACATGATGCATGATTAATGCAAATGATAACTCTTGGTTTGACAACTTCTCATTTTTATGCTTATGCGACTTTGGATCCATAACAATCCTATTATTCGGAAGTTGTTGGGAGTTTTACTAGCCAGCCTACATTTCGCCTGTATGGTGGGGACTCGAACCTCCACCAACTGATCTAACTCGACCAACAAGATAAGCCTCAGGAGAAAGTCAGGATAAAGGAGCATCGCGTGGAGACTCCCAGCTAGAGTTCTGGGGCCTAGGACACACATAGGGATATTGGTAAGTCACCCAACTCTATTAAATCTCCTAGACGTCAAGGTCCTCCCTATCTTTCACCAACAGCAGTTATAAAATAACCTCGTGACTTTCTTCACAGGGGAGTGAGATTTCACACACATTTGCCTTTTGAATAGTCATACACACTTTTGGAGTTTCACTCCTTTAATCATGCACGATAGGCGTTGGCCAAGTTTAAGATTTCACATGATTTCATCAACTATTCAGAACCATATATATATATATATATATATATATATATAGAGAGAGAGAGAGAGAGAGAGAGAGAGAGTTGGCAAGTACTTATATCTGTGCCTCAATGCACTTTCTCTAAGTGTTTCAAGCTCACTAGTTTCATCTCTTTCCTTGAGTTCCAACCATTACCCGACTATAGTTACATTACTCATTTATTTTCAAAAAGGAAGAAAACAAAGTTTCCATTAGATTCAATTATTGAACTCAAGGTCGAAGCTAAAACCATGGCCAAACTGCTTAGAGCGCATATACTTACATACCAATTTACTCTCAGCATATCATCACGCATGTTCTCACCCTTAAAGGGCTCAAGTTCACAAATGTGCCACTCAACCTGCATATGCCTATATGCATATTCTTAGTTCTTTACACAACACATGCGCCAAACCATATGTTTTCAAAGAGCAGAACACATAAGATATCCTGTTCAAATACACTAGGCATATCACTCATATTGGACATTTCAATAAAGCATTTTGTTTAATTGATCTTTGGTTTTCGACAAGTTTTGAGTAAATAGTTCACTTAAAATAATTCACAATTTTTACAAAATAATATTTACTC